TAGTGCAGTGTGTTAGACATAAACCCAATAAATAGTGAGGGCCATAGTGTGTGTCTTAGTGCAGTGTATTACACACAAACCCAATAAATAGCGAGGGCCATGGTGTATGTCTTCATGTAGTGTGTTAGACACAGTCCACCCAGTCTCCAAAGTTGGGAGACTCAGAGGATTTCTCTTCTTTTTTAGCTCCTCAATCAATTTCTCTAAAATTGGAATAATAACCTACTTGATGGGATGTTGTGAGGACCCGTGATAGGAAGTGCAGGAAAGTGATTATCATAGTGTTAGCATTTGACTAAAGGAAGAAATGAAAATATAAATAATGTTAGTGCCCATATCTGATAAGGGGCTAAACTGAGCCCTTTGTATTGTATTTTAAAGTTCACAGGATTTAGGAGTAAATATTGATGCTACCAATACAGATGCTGCTGTTAGTTATCTCCAAAAACTGAGGAAGGGCAGGTACACAAGAAGGGTCGAGACAATTGAATTTCTAAGAAGGATATTAAATTTGACACAAAACTAAGTTTGATGTAAAAGTGAATTGGACTAAATCTTAGGTAAGACTCTGGAAGAGATGATCCGTGAGTTGTGAGCCCTAGGAGAGGAAGTAGTGGCCGCCGGGACATAACATGCACATGCCTGAGCCCTGTACATTAGACCGGCCTCGGCTCACAGGGCCAGCATGCTGGTGCACCAGGGAGCACACAGAAGGAGCTGTACTGGGGCTTTGGCATCATATTTTGCAGGGCTTTTCATGACATTTGTGTGAAATAAAGAAAAAAATTGTAAGGTGAATTAAGTGGATTAGCATCTGATGATAAGAAAAATAATCAGTGGGTCACTGTCGCCCTGAAGGTCTAGGTAGTGGAATGACACGAGGCTCTGCCTTCCACCTCGCCCTTCGGGACATTTTACAACCACTTGTATGAAAAGCACACATGTCAGCTGATAGAAAACTGGCAAGTATAGTGAATATAATCTGACAGAAACAGGATCCCCAAGTATAAGCTCACATGTTCCTCGTTTAGGAAGGCTGCTGTGATAGCCCACCCTGTGCAAGTCCATTCAGTCCCCACCGCAGCCCCACATTCAGTCCCAGCAGCATTGCATTCACCCGTCTCTCATCGTACCTGCCTGCCTTGTAAGGGCCTATCCACAGGCAGCTGGTCTTGTGTCCCTATCTTCCCAGTTCCTCACAGTGGCCCGCAGCCACTTAATGAATGTTTGCATCAGTAAAGAACCGATCATGACGAGTCACACGGAGAGGCTGAAACTATCAAGCTAAATTGAATAAAGATAAATATAAAGCCCTGCCCTTGGTGCAATGTCCCCCCCCCCCCAAAAAAAAAAAAAAAAAAAAAA